TGTGTATGGCGACCAATCAGCTTCTCTCCAGTTTGTTCAGTTAAGATTTAAAAATGAAAGATTGGTTGACATGTACAGCTGCCCCATAAAGCAGTTTTTGATGTGATGTTTTTTTATTTATTTACAAGCTTGCTCTTCTAAATTTATTTTTGTAAATGTATTAAAATTGAACTGTAGCCTCCCATTAAAAATATGTGCTGCAAAAATATGTGCGCTTACAATTTTCTCTTATGCCCGGCATACACTGTTCAAATTTGGGCTGTGTGTGGCCCCCGCCTCAAGCACCTGGCTCATCAAAAGTCGATAGACATAGCAGGGGGGAAATTTGCAGCCAATTGGGTGCACTGTTTGGGTATTGGGACAGCAGCAGGCACCGACTGTTGGGGTACAACAGCCCGTCAGGGAAGATTTGCCATCCACGCAATTTAGTCCGGCAAGGGGGGGATTCATCTATCTGCATAGTTCACCGTGGATGGAGGGATCCGTTAGATTAATTGAATAATCAGTGCATGGCAGCTTTCGTCCTGCTTACATTTGTGGGATGCAAAAATTATATTGGGGGTGTGGCTATTAGCATTGCCACTGCTGATTTATAAGTCTGTATCTTGTATCTGGGCACACCTAGTCTTACCCACTGGCTTCTGGATTGACACTACTGCCTCTGCTGCTGAATCCTTCTCATTGTGACCTGCAGTGTCTGGCAGGGGGAAGGCACTTGAAGACAAATGAAGCAGGATTTGGCTCAGTCAGGGGAAGGTCAAGGACGTTGCAGGAGCCTTTAGTTATACAGGCAGTCCCCGAGTTACAAACATCCGACTTACATACGACTCCTACTTACAAACAGAGGCTATTACTGTACAGCAGGTGGTCCCAGGCTACAGCCAAAGTGTACCATGCAGCATTTCAGTAGTTGTAATGCTACTGCGCTCATGCCGATGAGGAGTGCCCGCCTTTTTGGGTCTGGTTCGTAGTACTGTACATTTGGCTCTTGTCAGACATGCAGACGAGGGTTGTCCGCCTCTTCTTCCAGGTCACTGTGAGGTTTTTACTGCAGTCTCTATCCTCATTAGAAAGATGTAATCTCACTTCCTGTCATTTAGACAACAGGAAGTGAGAGGAAATCCACCCCCTAGGAAAGGAAATCCACTCCTGTAAGAGTTATTATGGAAAATAGATATCTCCACTGAAGCTTTATCACCAATCCTTGTTTCACGACAACCCAACATTTTCAAAATCCACAGGGTCAGAAAGTGAGGTGAAATCATCTGAACAGGGGCACTTTGAAGTTACTGGCTGGGGATAGGTGGTGCCTTCCCATCAACCAGGGAATCCTTCTTTGTCTGGTGTGTCCTTATATTTGGGGTGTTATTCTAGACTGTTCCCACCTAGTTGGGGCATAATTCTGTCAGCCGGTGTACTGACCGGTAGGGCTGCAGCTAACGATTATTTTCATAATCGATTAGTTAGCCGATTATTAAGTTCGATTAATCGGATTTTAAAAAAAAAGGCTCCAGTGATGGACTACTAGTTTCTATTGAGATTGTAGTCCATCACGGGAGCAAGCTTGGCGCGGTGGAAGTAAAAAAAGAGTGTAGTGTGCAATATAGTACATTATACAGCGGCGCAGTACAGAATACCAGCAGCTATAGAGGAATGTAGCAATAGTACATTATACTATAATGTACTATTGCTAGGATTTGTAGTCCTCTATAGCTGGTGGTATTCTGCAGTGCGCTGTATAATGATTATACTGCGCAATGCAGATTACCACTGACCAGTTATAGAGGAACACCAAATCCCAGCAATAATACATTATACAGGGTGTTTAATATATTATTGCTGGGATTTGTTGTTCCTCTATAGCTGCTGGTGTTCTACAGTGTGCTGCTAAAACAGGTCCTTACCTGTTTCTGAACCCTTGTAAGTCGTGGCGGCGGCGGCGTGCTCTGCGGGCTTGTGTCCGTCTTGTGCGGTGGCCGGGTACGCGTCGTGTGCGCGGTGGGCATGGCGTCCGTGGCGTGCATAGCGTAATCCGTGTATGGAGCTGCGAACAGGCGGGCGTGAGTGGGAAATTTACATTTTAGCCGACGAATCGACGATGGAAAACGCTGACAACGTTTTCCATCGTCTATTTTAATCGACTTAATCTAATAATTGTTGCAGCTCTACAGAATACCAATGTATAATACAGCGGCACACTGCTGAACACCAGCAGCTATAGAGGAACAACAAATCCCAGCAATAATATATTAAACACCCTGTATAATGTATTATTGCTGAGATTTGGTGTTCCTCTATAGCTGATAATGTTCTGCAGTGTGCCGCTTTAAAAAAAAAAAAACCACACACACACAGGCAGCATTAAAAAGCTCCCGGCCGATCTCCACTTACCTTGGTGTTGTCGGCGGGCAGCGGCGTTGATCATGTCGGCGGGCAGCGGCGAATCGGGCAGCTCACCGGGAGGAGAGGGCCAGACACATGTCCTCAGCGTGTGCGTGGCGTAAGCGGCGTCGCGTGAGCGGGTATACCGGCGTAGGCGCGAGCAGCTTAAACGACGTGGGCGTGCAGCGGCGAGCGGGAAATTTGAATTTTAGCCGATGAATCGACGATGGAAAACGTTCGTCGATTTTAATCGACTTAATCGAATAACTGTTGCAGCTCTACTGACCGGACTTCTATTGGATGCCTTCTGTGTGCTTCTAAGTTTAAGTCTACAAAGCTTGAGCCTTTTCTCTCTTCTTATGACTGTCTGTTCCAGTCTGATGGGCATCTGTGTTTTTCAAACTTTCCTCTGGGGATTTGTTTTTTCTGGGTCTGAGCTCTGTTGAGCCATAAATTGTTGGTCTGGTTTTAATCCCATTTTATTGTAGTCCCATTGAGGGACACAGGTAACACCCCTCTGTGTTTCCTGTAGCTAACAAAACTGAGGCATGCTGGGTAGGGGAGGGATTATATTAGGGCTGCAACAACTAATCGACATAATCGATTATTGAAAAAGTTGTCAACTTTTTCAATAATCAATTAATCGGCTTACGATCAGTTGGCCCTGTTCACGGCTCCACACACGCTGCGCGCCGCACCTCCTCCCCAAATCACGCTCACCGCTGCCAGACCCGCCCACCCGCATCCACACTTTACACGACGCACCTCTTTCCCGCCTCACACTCACCGCCCGCCCACACACATCCACAGGGACGCGGGGAGATGTAGTAAGGATGAGCAGGTGGGGGGATGACAGCCGTCGACAGACAGACCCGATCTCAGAAGCAAGTTGCTGGAAGACTGCTCAGGTAAGTCTGCACCCCCCCACATGTGCTCTATAAGGTATTGCTGGGATTTGTATTCCTCTATAGCTGATGGTACATTGTGCTGTATATTATACATAGGAATACAAATCCCAGCAATACATTATACACTGTATATATAATGTACTATTGCTGGGATTTGTTGTACTCCTCTATAGTTGGTGATATTCTGCACTGCGCTGTATAGAGGACTACAAATCCCAGCAATAATACATGACTTCTTTTGGATTAGGATATTTTGTGATATATTTTTATTTATTTGAACTAATGTGAAATGAGTCGCAATATGTCTGTGAAGGTTCTCATTACTCCAGGTCATGGTATATCTGTAAAAAACTCAGACGTTTCACTGGTCATCCAACCAGCTTTGTCAAACAGAGAAAGCTGGTTGGATGACCAGTGAAACTTCTTCAAGAAAAATACAACAAGCCCTGTTGCCTTGACTTAGTTTTTTTTACAGATAATATAGGGCTGCAACAACTAATCGACTAAGTCGATTATAATCGATGATTGATACAGTTGTCAACATTTTCAATCATCGACTAATTGGCTTTTGATTTGTTGGCCCTGTTCACGGCTCCACACACGCCGCGCGCCGCACCTCCTCCCCACCTCACGCTCACCGCCCGCCCAAATCCACGAAAGGCACAGGGACGCGGGGAGAAGAAGTAGAAGTAGTCAGGAGGAACAGGCATGGGAGGATGACAGCCACTAACAGCCATTATGTTAACATGCTGTTTAACAGTGAAGAAGTCTCGTTCTCAGTTTACAGAGTGTGCTTTCTTTTATTTGATCCCAGATTCTCTTTCTTAAAGATCCTTTATAAACTTGAATATTCCTTTGTATTCGATATTAATGTCGCCGGCACATAAACTGAGAACGAGACTTCTTCACTGTTAAACAGCATTATAACATAATCTATATGAGGCTACAATGTCTCACTCGAAGTGAATGATATCTACCTCATGACGACTGATTTGAGCAGTCTCCTCCTTCTCTATATCCTATAACGTTTACAGGTGCATATTCAGGGTATGTTCCACAGGGAGACCCTATGGAAGATGACAGGCAGAAGCACTCAGCACTTTTTTTCTGTATCAGGGGGTTTTTAGGCTAATTATTTATGAGGATCGATCCGCAATTATTTATGTATGTCTGTAACCAAAGAGTTTTTAATGGTGAGAGGTGTTTTGAAGGTGTTGTCCTTAATGTATGTTGTTTCAATGAATTCTTCTAATAAATTTAATTTTTGCATATTGGCTGCTTGTCCGGATCCCTCAGTTGACCGCTACTGACTCGTTACCTTCTAACGAGTTAATCCCCTTTTTCTTTGCACATGATTGTCTGGTCACGGATCGGTCTAAATAAGCAAATATGCAAACCTGAATTAGGGCGTATAATTAGTCGGATCTCCAGGTAGGAACACCAACCCCTTTTCTCTTAATTTGGGCTTGGAGGTGACCTAGCTGTGTTGCTTAACTGCAGCAGCGAAACATCAGGTCTCAATGCTGGCTGTGTGGTAGAACTCTGTAAGTCTGAGCACAGGATGAACAGAAATGCAAGCCCCTTGGCAGGTAAGATCGCTACCACATATATATGTCAACTCTGTTTTTAGCTGTTTACCTTGAGTTCAGCTTTAGCAAAAATGTAATGCATTTAACTTTTGTCACAGTTCTCCCTTTATTTTTTTATTAGGCTTTTGAAGAAAACCACTTAGCCTCTCTCGATCCAATTGCTCAGTTCAGCGCTTGGTTCCAGGAAGTCTTAGAATGCCCAGCCATTGTAGAACCAAATGCCATGTGTCTGGCCACCGCAAGCAGGTACTGATTGACTACATATTCCCCCACTATACCCTTCTCTTTATCCTTTTACTTTTTTGCACCTATTTTTTTACCTTCCTGCACCTCACCTTTGCCTGTGTTTTCCTGTGTAGGGACGGGAAACCCTCTGCCCGTATGGTTCTGTTGAAAGGGTTTGGCTCGGATGGGTTCCGATTCTACACTAACCGGGAGAGCAGAAAAGGGAAAGAGCTGGTGAGGCTTTTGTCTTATAGGTATCAGCTGTTTGTAATGCTTAAAACATATCGTCAAGGCTGCCGGAACACTCCAACCTGCTTGGCTTTTGAGTTTCAGAAACAATGAGACAAATTAATAACGTTGCATGGAAACCGCAATAGAACGAGCAGTGTTTCAGGGGTCAAAGCCATTCAATGGGTGAAACTCGCCTGATAGAGGAGTTTGTCCCCTGAAATGTATGTTGGGCAATCCCTCTGCCATTACACGTGACACATTTTCACCCAGCTGTGCACTTTCCACATTAACAGTGAGGACATATATGAAGGGAGTTGTTTTGTACATTGTGACCTAAAGGTAGGAGATGCAGTTATATCTCATTGTGGGACAGCTGTTCCATATTGGAAATCTCTTATGATTATACAGTTTTTGAAATTTTGGGTGGAAATTAAAATGTCCATGTGACAGCAGCACTGCAATGCTGAAACAGCACCAGACAGACAGGGAGTGTTAGAATAATAAAACATTTTCCTAAAAGTCTTGATTATTAAATCGGCTCCAGATCCTCATACAAAAGCCCAAAACAAAGATACCAAACCAGGCCATGCAGTACCCAGCTGGCAGTACAGGGGAAAACAGTTCAGGTTCCAGATTTTCTACGGTCAGATGGTAAAAGTGCAACAGATTCTACACTAAACTTTGTGAATGGAGGAATCTCCCACTGGGCCAAGCTTCAGTATGTTGCTGGTTGTCCCTGCTGGCTCTCATACACCTGAACAATACCTGCATCCAATCAGATTGTTCAGGTATTTTGACAGCCAGCAGGGCCACTTAGCTAGATACTGAAGCTTGGCCCAGTGGGAGATTCCTCCACCCACACAGTTTTGCGTAGATGAAAGAATCTGTTGCACTTTTTCCATCCGACCATAGAAAATCTGCAGGTAATCTATATGTGTATCGCCAGCTTTAGGTTTATAGCTTACCCCTGGAGAGGTGAACAGGGTCAGAGAGAGAATAAAGGCTGCCTGCCCGCCTCTGTTCCTTAGTGAGAACAATCCACAAAGTTCCAGAAAGTTAAAGTAGGAATTACTTCAGCCTGGAAGGACTAGGCCAGGACATAGAAAATCTAGAAACTTCCAAAAAGCTGCAGGATATCCTTTATCTTGACACCAACACTACAGATTTTGTCACAGTCCAGTAAGCCTACAAAATGTAATTTTTTTATTTTTTATTGTCTTGGCTTCGACTACTCCAGGAAGAGTCAATTACCTAGCATAGCTCCTTTCCTCCTTGCACGTCGTAGCCTTTCCTCTTCTGGGAGTGTCTAAGTACTCTCTGTTCTGGCCCAGGTCCTCCTACCCTCCCTTTAGCACCCCGCACAGCACAAAAACTGCATTTTTTCTGCATGATTGCGGCTACTACTATAGCTGGAATGCCCGGAATCCGCCCAGAATATGACGATTGGACTTTTTTTCCACGACATGTGTTTTCGTACCAGGGATAACGTGCAATTGTGAACAGGATAGAATACATTGGAATGTACTAGATTTTGTGTTTAGCGTGTTTAAGCTAATGTGTGAATGGCGCCTTGAGGAGGGCTGTTGCAGCTCGCTCTGTCCAGCCTCTCTCTGCAGTAGCAGATCACTGCTATCCTGATTCAGCTCATTTCAGCATACTATGGGTTATCTCCTCCCCTCTGACACCATAAGACCACTTTATTCTATAAAAAGAGATTGAGTTCCCCACCCCAGCTGGGTTTTTTTGGGTCCTACATCCAAGCAGGCATTGTGTGCCATAGCATTCAACAGTAAATCCTTATTTGTAAAGACTCTTGAGAAGGCTATTCAGTGAGTCAAGGGGAAAGTAGAAGTTGGTTCCCAAAGAAAAGGAACGCAGCAGCCCTTTCGGACTAAGCAAAGATTTTACAATCAGTTTCAGGATACCAAATCTTATAATGATGAGAGTACCTTCAGTCAGATAAGAAAGTCTCTCGGAGTTCCTGCTTGTGAAGAATCAAAACCAGTAAACCCTTGGAGAAGTCATTGTATGAAGCTTTCAGATGAAACCATTACAGATTATCATGTTAATATTACAGACTGTATGCACAACTGGATGCCTGTCTACACATACCGAAGTGCCCGAAGCATCAACATAATCCACCCTTTGCAAATGGCATTTGCTACTACCAGTTTCACTGTCTACCATTTGGCTGTCCACCGTACCCTGCACCATTTCCAAAGTTCTTTTAGCAGTGGTGGCCCTCCTTAGCCTCAGGATTAGAATTTTCCATTACCTGGACAATTTCCTAATCCTGGAAGAGTCCATACTCCAATTGGAGAACAACAGATGGATAGTGCTTCAGCGTTTTGGCTGGTTAGACTAGGAAAGCATTTTGGTCCAAGTGCAAAATCAACGAGAGGACACATCGTACTCCTCAAGTGATTCAGACTCCTGTCTTGTTTTTGAAGGACTGCTTGAGCTGCCTGGGAAATTTTGACTGAGCATGCCCCTCAGCCCTGAAGACTAGATCACTCTTACATCAGATGCCAGTCTCCAGGGCTGGGTGCAGCATTGTCTGGGAAGACAGGCCCAGGAGCATCGGTTACAGTTTGGTATCTTGTCATTCCCACCTTCTAGAGTTCAGTGCAGCCTTTTTGAAACCACAAACCTTCAGCCATCTTTTCCTCAGTTGTCAACTCAAAAACCTAATGGACAACAAGACTGCTGTTTCTTACATTGCAAGGCAGGTTGGCATTGGGAGTATGCCTCTCCTGAATAAACACAGCAGACATTTTTCAGTAGGTGGACTCACACCTTATGGCTTGACAACATCTTATTTGCCAGGAGCTAAGAACCTGCTGGCAGATTGTCTAAGGCAAATCTTCGTGGACAATTGTAAATCAGAAGTGAAGAGAAAGTATCTTCAGGTGCCATCAAGTGCTTGCTCAGGGTGTATTTTTGGTGATGTGGAATTATCCATTGGCCTATGTCTTCCCCTTTGATTTCCAGGTCCAGAGATCCTCGAGATCCAGTTCAACCATAGTGGTCACCTCTTGGCCAAGAAGGTCCTGTTTCCCACTTCAAGTGGCAGTGAAACCTCTGGGCTTTTTGCCAGTCAGACAGGACCTCCCGGGTAGCATTCCAACCCCTTAAGACAGCATTTAGAGGTATGGATCATAATAAGAGCAGAGTGAATGACTTTGGTTTCTCTCCAGGCATGATCTCCACTTTGATGCAGGTCCAAATATGGTCCACAAATGCTACATACTTCTGGATTTGGGACAAATTTCTGTCTTTTGTAAGAGAAGGCGGCTTTCCTAACCTCCATTACCAGATATCCAAACTTTCTCCAATCTGCTTTGAATAAAGGGAAGTGCCCTTTTTTTTTTTTTTGCATTCTTTACACCAAAATCCAGCCTCTGAAATCTGTTTTGTGCAGCTTTCACCTACAGGGTGGCTCCTTTTGACTTGCAGTTTCTCTTTAGAGCCACCCTGATGTTTGCTCTCCTGCCACTGTGTTTGGCTGATGCTTGTGCAGTAGGGGCTGCTAGTGTTTGGTTGACACATGCGCAGTATGTGCAGCTGCACCAGAGCAGTCCTGTACTACACGTGTCGACCGAACACAGCCTCAAAGCGCATCATGGGCCGATGCTCTGTTCTGCCAAAGCGTGTGCAATGCAGTTCAGGGAGAGCATAAAGTGTCATGGGTCCTGAAGATTTTGAGCTCAGCTGTGCATAGGGTGCGCTGATTGGAGGGACACAGGAGAGACAACTTCAGAGCATATATTCTGTTTTAGCTGCTGGTTGGGTGCAGCTTTTTGTAAAGCGCCAGATAACAGTAAGGGTTTATTACAACTTTTGCCTTCCACGTAGGTCTTTGTTTCCATTATAGAACTTATCTTTAGTTCTGAGAGCTTTTTGTGCAACCGCATTTTGTACCTCTAGAATCGTGTGTCATCTGTGTTTTTCTATATTGGGCTTCTTCACACCATGTCTGTTGAGCTGCGTTTTCCTGAACGCCACTGCACATGTATGGTGTGAACAGGGCATATAGGAAACAAATGTTCAGTTTGTGTGGTGGTGTGCAGAAAAATGCAGCTCAACTGACATGGTATGAACAAACAGTAAAGGTTGTATTTTTGACAGCCATTATGTTAGTGAGAAGGGTATCTTAAATTTGTCCCTTCACCTGTAGGTAGCCTTTTTGGACCTTGCTTCCTGATGTGTACTTTGGGACCATCGCTGTGTTCGATCTAAGGCGGCACCGGATTTTTATGCCAATAGGAAATCTGTTTTACCGGCTCTTCCCCTGAACTAATGGAACTTCATAGTAGGTGGACTTTAGCCCTCTGGACATATTAAAATAGAGTGCATTCTATCTGAAAAGAACAGTACCCTTCAGGTAAGCAGAATTGTTTTTTTGCATTGCCGACTGGCTCAAAAAAGGGAGTGACCGTTTCACTGAGAAATATGTCTACATGAATCTGATAGGTGATTCATACAGCATATTTTAGGAGCCCCCCCCCCATCACCACCACCACCCAGGCGGAGGTGCAAGCTGATTCAACTAGAGTGATGGCAACCTTGTGGGCTGCTTATGCCAAAGTTAAAACAAATTACACCTGTATGACAGCCAGCTGAAATTCTGCAAACACCTTCATTCGCCACTGTAGTCTGGATATGATGAACAGGAGCTCTAGTCGTTTTGGATCTTCTGTTTCTTACTGCGGCTTTATATGTGTAATATATATTTTGTTGCCTTTAGTACGTGTTTAACTTTTTTTTTTTTTTTTCCTTCCTTATGCTGAGGGCTAGCTGTGTCCCGTAGTATGCTGACTTAAGGTGAGCCAGGAATATCCCTATAATTGCTGTAATTTTCTTTTCCTGGCATTCTACGGCTGCAGGTGGATTAGTGGTTAGCACTTCTGCCTTGCCTCAGTTTGAATCCTGGATAGAACACTATCTACATGGAGTTTGCATGTCTTCCCTGTGCTTCTGTGACTTTCTTCTGGGTACTCCAGTTTCCTCCCAAACTTCAAAGACATGATGTTAGGTTGATCAGCTCCTACCTAAATGTGTAAATGGGTTCTAGTATGTGTGGGGGCACGTATGTATGTATGTATGTATGTGAAATGGAGACCTTAGATTGTAAGCTCCCTGTGGGCAGGAATGAATGTACTGTATGTGAAGCATTACGTAAATTGTCAGTACTATACAAATGCCTGTAATAAATAAAAATGTCAGCAACTTTCCTGCCCAATGCCCTATTGTGAGTCTAGTGATGGGATGCTGGGTTGGGGAACTCACTTTTTTTTATAGATAAAGAAGGTGGTCCTATGGGGTTGGATGGATAGAGCTAACCTGTAGTATGAAATGAGCATAAGCTAGGAAAGGAAAATTATGGTAATTATAGTGGTAACAGTTTTCCATGATAGTGATGTGTTGCTGGATCATGTCTTCACTGACCACAAGTAACCAGACCGGAATAAAGCTCTCTTAAAGTCAAATGCCTACATTTACTTTGAGCTTTTACCATTTCGCTATGTTACATAAGTCATTTAAATCAGCAGATCTCAGAAAAAAGAAGAGGATATTTAGTAGCTGTACTTTGCTATTCTAATGTGTTTTGGAGTTGTCATGTTATGGACTTGTTCTAGTGCTCTGTTCACCTGCTTTCATGGCAACACTATCAGATGTGGAATAGTTAGGTGTGACAGGCTCAGCAGTCATTGAACCCAGAGCATTACTGTAAATGACTTCACAATGCAGCCTCCTTACAGATGCCATATATTAAGTGGCTGGATGGTCATGGTGCAAGAGTCACATTCACATTCACCTTCCAAAATACTCCAAGGGCTTGTTTACACCGTCGGTGTTGGGCAACGTTGCCCAATGCAAGGACAAGGCAAATAGCCTTATGTTCTGTGGCTTCAGGTCACACTGATGTGGTGTGCGTGCTGAAAGAATATAAAGACAGATGTGTAGCTTTTTAAGTGCAGTGGACAGTAAAAGCATTAAGGTAAAAAAACAGGTACAAGAAGTGTTAAAATACATTGCAGCATATTGCAGCGTGAGGTAAATAATGCATGCCAGCTCTCGCACGTTCTGCACATGCATGCGCTATAGTGTGCATGAGCCCTAATCTTTTTACATTTTTGAAAAGGGGGGAAAACAAAGTAGTGTGTACCTGCCTTACACATCTCCTTTACAACAAATTATATTCTCCACGTTAAATAACACACCTTATACTGAAACTGCAGCCAAAAGATTTTGTTTTGGATAGAGCAGGGAAGGGTAGAACCTCTGTTAGGTTTTCAATTCTGCCTCTGTTCTTGTTGGGGATGAGTTCTCTCACTGGTCACGTGATGAGGGAGAAAAGAATGGAGATCTCTGCAGTCGAAATACATACAGCAATAAAAACACTCTTTTAAAAGAGTGGGCTGGATAAGAGACTCTGCAGGTTTGTATTATGATCTGTGTCTCCATTTGGGAGATTGCATTAATTTTCTGTCCTTACTGCTAAAAACTATCAAATATTTTGACTAGAGATACATTTGAAAAAAACTTTTCTCAATATATCTGCACTCCTAGGCTTAATCCTACCCACAAATTAAATTCTCCACATTCGCTACACTTGAAAAAAATGTTTTGCTTTTTATGTGTCTCATTTTGTTCATACAGGAGGACAATCCAGTTGCTTCTCTTCTGTTTTTCTGGGAACCTTTCAATCGTCAGGTAAGGCTTTCACATGTGGGAGAAACCTCAAATATTGTCCAAGCCCTCACCTCACCAATCCAGCCACCAAGTGAAACAAGTTAGACTTGGCACAGGTTATTGGCATGTAGTCATTCTTTAAACTCGCATCCCAATATATCTAAATTGGGTACCTTGTAAAGTCTAGCTTTGTTTTTCATACTGATTACATTATTAATCACAAGTACATCTTCTGTAGCTAGAAGAAATCACATGGCTGTGACATAATATTCCTGCTCTATTGTTCTAATTAAGTCTGCGGTTTTTTTAATTGAATAGAGACAACATTGCAACATAAGATAAAAACTAAAACACACAGCGCTAATCCATAAATAAATATAAAATCAATAAATAAATTATAGTGCAAACTATAAATTGGCTAATACCAGCGATCTCCTAATAACAAATTATATGTATGTATGAATATAGCAACTAAAGTGTAAAGTCTATTACAATCAAAGTTCATATAGAATCTCTGTATTGTGAAGATGCACCATAATCAAAAATTCCCCAGTCTCCAAATCCTAGTTTTTATCCACTGTGCTCCCTCTTCTTGCAATCAACGTACCCAAGTTGATGTTACAGTGTACATACACAGGTCAAAACATACTTGCTCTTTCTCTGACGTCAATAAATAAAGGCCAAAAAAAAATCCAAAGATACTCGGATTCTCTCATCCCTCCATAATCAAGCTCCTAAATGCATGATCCCATCAGAAAACAAGGAATAAAGACAGTGTAAAAGAGTGTCTTTAATAAAAATTCAAAAAAAAAACAAATTTACACTCGCATTTAGTTGAGCTGCATCCACCACAGGTAGAACAACTCAGACCAAGTTAACAATGCTGTGAACATGTGGCCTGTCCTAGCAGAAATGAAGTCAATAGGTTCTGCCTGAGGCATTTCATCATCTAGCGACTTTCTCAAGAGCAGTGCCTTCAACATCATCTCCTGCTGCCTTTAACTATTTTAGATCCGCCCCTGCCTGCCCAATACTTGCCCCTAATCTTTGCCGCATACACATCAAGACAAAGACCTCCCTTAACGTCTCATCATGTCCCTGGAAACTCTCCTCCCGTATGTCCATCAGTGTCAACACACCTGCATGCAGCTTAGTAAAGAACAGGGGCAGAAATATCCACGATTATTACCCACTCCTCAGAGCTTTACTAAATATTAATAGTACCGTATATACTCGAGTATAAGCCGTCCCGAATATAAGCCGAGGGTGGGAAATGAGGCAGCTAATGGTAGATAGATACCAATAAAATTACATTAATATTTATTTAAAAGAAAAATAACCTAGCTCTGCAAGTGGAAAAGGGGGTACAGGGCTACATATCATGTACTACGGATCATTTAACCCATTCATATTAGCAGAGGATAATTGTAAATCTATTGTTCAGTGCACTCTATATGTAGTATATAGTACATGTACATATAGAGTGCCTGCAACAATACATTTACAATGATCCTCTGCTAACATGAATGGGTTAAATGATCCATAGTACAGGGCTACATATCATGTACTACGGATCATTTAACCCATTCATATTAGCAGAGGATAATTGTAAATCTATTGTTCAGTGCACTCTATATGTAGTATATAGTACATGTACATATAGAGTGCCTGCAACAATACATTTACAATGATCCTCTGCTAACATGAATGGGTTAAATGATCCATAGTACAGGGCTACATATCATGTACTACGGATCATTTAACCCATTCATATTAGCAGAGGATAATTGTAAATCTATTGTTCAGTGCACTCTATATGTAGTATATAGTACATGTACATATAGAGTGCCTGCAACAATACATTTACAATGATCCTCTGCTAACATGAATGGGTTAAATGATCCGTAGTACATGATATGTAGCCCTGTACCCCCTTTTCCACTTGCAGAGCTAGGTTATTTTTCTTTTAAATAAATATTAATGTAATTTTATTGGTATCTATCTACCATTAGCTGCCTCATTTCCCACCCTCGGCTTATATTCGGGACGGCTTATACTCGAGTATATACGGTATATTTAAATACATAGAAATCTCTTCCAAGTAATACTTCATAACTTCATATAAATCCATACAACACCCTCCCATAAAACCTTTAATCATTAGAAAGAAAACCGTTCAGGTTCACTTCCACATTTAAACCCTATGGTTGCCATGTGGCCAGCGCATAAATCCACTTTGTTTCATTTCTTGAAAAAAAAATTCTAAGTTGGTTCCTCTCCATTAAATAAACACCCGATCAATGCCATGAAATCTTAGGACACTAGGATCCCTATTATACACAATTCGAAAGTGTCTGGACACACTGTGATTTATAAACCCTTGTTTATGTTGTTTACAAGTTCTTTGCCCCAATCTTCTTATGATCCTCCGCACATATTGCAACCCACAGGGGCATTCAAAAACATAAGTAATGTGGGTTGTACTACATGTTATAAAGTTCTTCATATCGTAACTCCCACCCATTCTATTAGATTTAAAGTTGGATTTCTTCCCATCTCTCCCTCCAATTGTGGTCTTACGTGGAATACATCTCTTACAAGCATAGAATCCTGTCTGATTTAATGATTGTAACCCTTGGTCTATTGAGTAGATCTACTACATTTTGTACCAAATCCCTCGTCAGAATGGGCCCTACAATAGATCATATAAGGTTTAATTGGTATCAGGAGTCCTAATAGTTAACATTTCTGTAAAATTCCCCGGTGTTTGTTTTGAATTCTCTCACCAGTAATCCACATGTGCTTTTTTACTTTGCCTTGTCCTTCCCACCCTCCCTCTTTTTATTAGATTTTAGTGGCTGCTAGTGTCATCTGTTTGTAAAAATGTAGTGGTATACTAAATACTCTTAGGTCTTATTTCTAGATATGATTCAAGGGGCACGAGGTCTTGGCCCCTAGAATCCACCACACCTCCCTTCCACAGCCCTTCTAACTACTCCTGCACCAAGCAACCCGTGACTTTGTGCTGCACCCTAATCAATTGCTCCGGCACCAAGCAACCCGTGACCTTGTGCGGCACCCTACTCAATTGCTCAATGCAGTTTATAGATTAAAGAAGATCACTACATGCAAAGAAATCTACAGATTCTAATTATGCCTATGCTGCTCACTCCATAACAGGATCCTAGACGAATGTCCATGCAGAACCATAAAGGTTACTCAATAATAAAAGCCCAAGTTAATCTTAAAATAATGCATGCATAAACATGTTCAAGAACATGGAAAGCAACCATTTATTTTTTTAGAAGTGTAAAGATGAAAAGTATTGTTGTGACAAATCCTATATATGCAGATAAGGATTTTTTCCAGTATAAAACATAAATAATATGGAATGTGTTGTTGTTATTATAAAATGAAGACAGGGAGTAAATTTCGTTGACCTATCAAAGCAAGAAAAATATTAATAATGTACAGCAAAAACTAGGGCCAAGTCCACTAAAGTAATCTCTCTTTTTATAATGCCGAGGTTGGCCCAAGCTAATTATTCATTCAGTGCTTAGAATCTCAGTATGGAAATTATTTCTACACAGTGCAGCACAGGAAATAAAAAGGTTGCTCTTCGGGCAGAGAGCCTCTCCCAGTGATTCATACCAGTTGTCCATGACGGTTATTCTGGGGTAAGAGTTTGCCATGGTAACACTATAGATTCTTGCAGACTGCTGCATAAACTTTATGGGTGTGCTTTTTACAGAGTTTGTCAACTTTTATATTACTTTTAGGCTTGGCTTAAAGAGAATCATTTCATAGTAACAGTTAAATTACCATAAAATGAGATACAAGTCACTTTTATACAGTGCACTTCTTTATATAGACTACCCACTAACACGACTGTCTGTCATGTATGTAAAACTTTCCATAGGTCTTTATAAAAAGTATTATCGATTTGACAGGTACATTTATGCATACTCAAAACGTGTTATAGAAGGAACACAGCCTTTTCTGCTTTTGGCTTTTGGTGTTTTTTTTCTGTTCTTGTTTGTTTTGTGCAGTAAGCCCCCTAGACTATGGCCACAGGTAGCCTGGTGGTGTGGTAAAACTTAATTTAGAGCCTTTCTGCATGCCGTGGATTCTCAACTCTGTCCATTGAAGTATCAATATAGCCTAACTATGCACACCAATAATCATGAATGGGATAATTCATACCTCTACCCCACCTCTACTGTAGGCTGCAGAAGTATTACATGTACTGTATATCCATGACTTCATTTTAACCAGTATTATAACAGATATAAACACTACATGCACTAATCAAACAGTCATGGCATTGAAAAATAGCATTCAAAATTAGTGAAGCATAGACGCCTCCAAAGTCCAAGGAGCACCTTCTGGTTTTCACAGGCACAAATTACACATCAGCTTTCTTCGCTACCCATCATTTGTGGAGGCCTTGAAGTGCTAGGACAGATATATACTGCTACCGCTATGTATCTTGGTGTGATGGATACGAGGGCGATCTCTGGTTAGCAAGCTGTGTGACAAAGTAAGGGAGTGCCAATATGCCAACAAATATATGATATGCAATTTATCTCAGGGAGGTTAGACTCGGATTGCCATGTATTGGAGTTATAAATTCAATTTAGGAGAAAAGTTGATAGTTACGGAGCATGGAATCCCATACCGTAAGTGCAGAAGCCTTACAAATTGAAAGGTTCCGGAGTCGGGGTTTGGTGATAGGATGCATGTCAGAGAGGTGAGTAGGTCAGATTTTGTTCTGTGGAGATCCATAATTTACATTATATGGTTCATAATGGAACCAATCGATTGTGACTTAGAATAGCTGAATTGAAGTACAATCCCAGGTGTGGTAAGTCCAAACCCCATATTATTTTCACCCAAAGATTTAGTCGTAATAAAGTGCGTAAAAATGAAGTATAATAATGACTACCATCTAAAATTAATAGAGAAAAGATGTCCATCTTTAACGGGGACATTCTACCAAACCATTTGTGTTTCTTGGTCAACAAGGACAGCAATAGAACAAACTAGCAGCTTTAAAACAAGCCATTTATATTATCCGCTTTAAACTATTCTGCAGAACCAGAACCATTTACATGCTAAAACACGATTTAGGCCTGAGGATTAGTTTAAAACCCCCCAGAATTGTATATTTTCTGAAAGCGGAGACCCTGGGAAATAAAATGGTGGCAATTGCAATGTTTTATGTCACATGATATTTGCACAACTGTTTGTTTATCATACCCAAATTTTTAATAAAATAATTCATACAATTTTAGGGCACAGAAGCACAATATATACACAATTATTTGGTAAAATATAAAAGATTAGGTTGTGTCAAGTAAATAGATACCAAACATGTCAAGCCTTTCATGCAAAAATGCACCTGTGAAATTAGCGACAAACTTTGGTACCCAGAATTGTTCATAAGCGACACTTTCAAACCCTGTACATGGGTGACTATGAGTAATGGCCCTAGAATTATTGTTTTTGGTTTTTTTCTGGAATGAGCAGTGATAGGTAACACATGTGGCACAGATGTTGTTTTGGCATATAGGAGCACCCAACATACGCATATAGGTACATATGTTTGCGGGTAGGGAGGGCTTTACATTTTTTTTATTATTGCTATCACATAGGGGGCTTATAAGGCCCCTATGCTATAGCACATTATACAGTAGGTGACAGGCTCCCTCTAAAGCAGGGATATCAAACTCAATTTAATCGAGGGCCGCATCAACATTATGGTTTCCCTCAAAGGGCCTGTAAGACTATATAAATGTTTCTAATCTTTATCATAATTGCCTCTGCATTCGATTATCACTGGTTTTAGTAATAACTTAATACCTAGATCTGAAAGTAGAAGTCTAGGAAATGGCCTGGTGGGCCGGATTTGGCCCCTGGGCCTTGAGTTTGATACATGTGCTCTAAAGGGACATTAGGGGTGTATCTACTCCATTGAAACTGATCATGCACAGATCATGCACAGATCAGCTTCTTCCCCAACCTCTGTAGCCGGGGAATACCAGCTCTGAACCTTGAAGTGATAAATTCATTGTTGCTTCAAAGTTCATTCACAGGAGTGAAGATCGGTGAAAGGATGTTCACTGGACTCACTCCCTTTTAGCCATTGGCACCCACCATGCCTGCCCAGAGCCTACAGCAGGGGTAGCTGAGCCCAGGGTATAACGCGAGGAAATCAGGCAGGGGAAGGGGGGCACAGCTTCTGGAACAGCGTGTTTTAAAATCCATGCTTCAGGGGAAGGGTTAAAGGGCCATGCGTTCTCCCGACTGGCAGAAGAACATCTCAGTGTCCTACTTTTGGGGCGATGAACCTTCGGGCTTGTGCTCCCTGCTCTCCTCTTGCTGCTGCACTCCATATTGGCAGTAAAAAAGGCGCATAGAAGGGGATCCCCAGGGCAAATACCTAGCTAATGTGTACAATATATACAATATGGTATATAAACCATTTTCCAGCATATCGGTTTTGTCCCTCTACATCTTGAACATGGCGTATGTTTATGCTCTATTTCATGCTACATTTAGGTGGTAAAGTGCTTACAAGTTGCGTGGTTTCTTTTAGGTTCGAATAGAGGGGTCAGTAGAAAAGATTTCAGACGAAGAATCTGACAAGTACTTCCACTCTCGTCCTAAGGATAGCCAGATTGGTGCTGTTGTCAGCAAACAAAGTCAAGTTATCCCAGACCGAGAGGTGAGTAACAGAGCCTGATCAGTTCTGTAAATGGTAAATGAGAAAAGCCTGATCTTGGCCACATAGCATAATGGTAAGTTTATAGGTAGTTTTAGGCCCAATTCACATGCTGTATTCATGGATTTCTGTGGCAAGAACCAACAGATTGCTGCGCTAGGAATCCCAGTATGTCTCCATTCAGTTGTAGCTGCTGTATCCATTCAAGTTAATCACAGGGTGACAGTGGCCGCATCTGTCAGTGGTATGATTGCATGTGGTTTGGGATAGATGATTGTCACTGGACTAGCAAGACTTTGTTTTGTGATAATGTCTCTCAAAATACGTTTTTCTTACTTGTACATTACAGAACGCAGAACAGTATTCAGGAACATAGGGTTATGTTATATAGGCTTCCTTCAGGGGATTGAACATTTGGGATTGAGAATAGAGCTAAAAAAAGCTGAAAAGGGCAGTCCAGCATAACTCCTCCCACTCTCAGCAAGCTTTGGGATTAGTGTCCTAGGAGAGAGGACGTTTCCTCTCTGTTATGAGAGAAACTACCACTTTGTTTCTTTTTATCAAGATGATCTTTTCTTCTACCAAGTTTCTTCAGTAACTGCAAAGCCTCTGGGCTTCTGTTTTGTAGCTTTCCAGATCAGCTAATTTTGAGCATAGTCTTGGAGGCTGTGCCTAAACCTTGAAGTAAAGAAGATGCAGGGTCGGCCTGTAATGTGCCTCCCAGCACTGGATTCTGTTTAAGGAACTTACCTATGTGCGTGGTGTGGCTCAATGAGGCAACTGCAGGGTTGTCTAGTCCCGGGCGGGGGTGGGCCTATAGAAGCGATCTGGTGGCAGCTGAGCCGCTTCTATTGTAAAGCCGGCAGCCAGCTTTACAAAGGTAAACAGAGTCCCGGCGGCAAATCTGTTTACAGGGCCGTGCTGGTCACGATGGGGTTAATGGCTAGAAAGTCTACTATCGCACATGTAAGGCATACAGTTGTGTGAAAAAGAAAGTTAGTAATAGAGAGCTCAGTATTTCAAGCTGAAATCTACACACACACAAGTGAATAAACGAGGAGTAATCCATTGGATGGCTCTATCCCAGGGCTTTAATCAGGGCCAGCCTGAACGTAGAAAAGTACTGCTGTGTTCTCTTTAGAAAGCTTTTGTGATGTATTATTTTTGATGTTTTAAAACCTATAAGCTTAAAGGAGAACTATGAGGTGAGTGATTTTCACTCATCCTCATAGTTCTAGCCGACCTGTGACAATGAAACTGTCACAGGTCGGCTCAGTAGATCGGGAAGTGAACGAACACATACCGGCGCTCGCTCACTTCTCGATCCTGTCACTGCAGAGAGCCGTGACGGGAGGGACTGGATTCCCCCCTCCCCTGTCCGATCCTCCAGCGCTGACTGGGGTGAGGGGGTGGGTACAGCTGGCTCTGCCTCTAGATAGGCAGAGCCAGCTGTCACTCACGCAGCTGGGTGGATCCAGACAAAATTGTCGGGATCCGTTTCAGCTGCGGCGTCTCAGTATACCATGAGCTGTAGCTCGCGGTATACTGAGCTTTGGGTGACGGGAGGACGCTAGTTTGTGTTCTCCCGTTACCCTTAGGAGAACTATGAGGAAAAGCCCTGACCCCATACCGTGTTTCCCCGAAAATAAGACACTGTCTTATATTTTTTTGGGCTCAAAAAAACACACTAGGTCTTATTTTCGGGGTAGGTCTTATTTTTTTTTTTATGTACAACAATCCAAAGTTAATGCAAATCCATATCCAAATCAAATAATCCAAAATGGCAAAATTAAGAATAGAGTGATCAGGGCAATCAGGGGTGCCTTACCTTTCCAAGAGCAATTTGGTAACCAATCTCTGGCCAGAATGAGTGAAGTGCACTTTCACTATCGATTCCTCACAGGCGGAGTGCATTTGGTATCACTCCGCTTGTGACAGGAGCCGACACTATAGAGGAAGCATTGGCTTATGCGGCTCTGCTTCCTCTAGCGCTGGCTTCATTGGCAGTGCTGATTCTCTCCCGCCTCTCTTGCGGCTCGTCATGTTCCCCCTTATGCCACCACCGGCCCTGAAAATGGTCACAACTAGGTCTTATTTTCGGGGTAGGTCTTATATTTTAGCAATTCTCCAAAATAGTACTAGGTCTTATTTTCGGGGTAGGTCCTATTTTCGGGGAAACAGGGTAGTTCTCCTTTTTAAAATAAACAAATCGATTAAATTGACCCAAGCCAGTACAGTTTTTTATTCAGTAGTCCACAACTAATTGTAATACATCCAATATTCTTCTTGCTCATAGTACCTTCGTAAGAAGAATGCTGAACTTCAGGAGGAGTACAAGGGCAAGGAGGTTCCCAGGCCAACAGAGTGGTGAGTATTTCTTTTATGGCACTTGCTGGGTTTATATCACATGACACATTTTCTTCATACTAAGAATACCTACTAATGTTTTTTACAGGGGAGGATACATCATCCATCCTTCTGTCATTGAATTCTGGCAGGGACAGACCAATCGTCTGCATGATCGCATTGTATTTCGACGGAAAGAAGGAGAGGAGACGAGCCCCTGGACACACCCCGCAGAGAGTGGATGGGTGTATGAGCGCCTTGCTCCATAATTGCTGGCACTCATAATGGAATATCACAGTTCTGTGATCCTCGAGAATCAAAACACAACTGCCTTCATGTATAAAAACTGGCATGAGAGAAGTGGAAGAATTGCCAGATTACAAAATATAATTTCCTTCTCGTCCATTGAGGGACACGGAAGTCTTTAAAGTAGTAGTACATTCTCAAACTTTTTTTTTTTTCAAATAAATATACATTTCTCAGCAAAGTATTTCTTTACATTTTTGCCCAGGTCATGTTTCCAAACAGCTGCCTCCAATTCTATGAGTTATGCTTCCCTGAACTTCCTGTTCAGTACAAGATCAGAATGGACAGTGCAGTCTCCAACAGCTGTCCATCTACTAACTTGGAAAAGGGAGGAGTAGGAAACAAGGGAGTGGCTTGCAGTGTTTGTGGAGACGCACACCGCTTCCTAGCACACACAAGGGTGACTCCATTGAAACTTTGCAAAGAAAAAGAGCCACCCTTTAACAGGATGTCAGGACTAGAGCTACATCCGACAGCTAAAGAATACTTCTACACATTAAGGAGCAGCACCCTTTGCTGCTCCTTAAAGACGTGATGTCTTTTCTACAGCTCTGCTGTGTTAAAGACGAATTAAATAGAAGAAATAGAATTTCTTCTATTATTTTTTTTCTCAATCAAGACTCTTGTGTACATCGCTGCTAGAGCTTTGTCTCTTGGATTGCAGTTTACTGGTCAGGTCATCCTCAGCCTGGCTTTTGGAGTACCATGTCTTGACCCTACTAGACTGGATGTTACAGAGACAGACTGAAAGTGACCTTCAGGCAGTAGATTTCATGTGGGGCACTTTTCAGGCTCCATTCTGGTAAAAGTTAGCTGCAGAGTGCTTTACAGGTCCAGAGTCACTGGCATTGCCTCAGCACTTGCCCTGTCTCTGAAGACGCGCTTACTGAGTAGGCTGGTCGGGCAAAGCACCAGGAGCTTACTTAATTTACTTAGGTCGCTGGTCACAATTGTTCCCCATTACCACCCTAATGATCTGCTTGATGTACTGTTGTGTGCACACTTTGCATTCTCTTTCCCTGACATACAATATCTAGGAAGCATCTCTCTGCTTCTGCTTGCAAAGAGCCACATAGAACTTTTATTCGTTTCTGCTGCCTGCCTACAGAGACGTTGTTCACTTCTCACCATCCGACCATGACCTGCTACTAGCTCTTCCGGTTTCATTATTTCCTAAGGCTTTGCCTCTTACCCTGAGGCTACACAGTAGGAGGATAGTCCTGCTGTACCTGGTGCCCCCCTGCTCACACTGTGGTAACAGCTCCAAGGCTGCTTGCAGCACGTCTACTGATGGTGTCAATGTCTGCAGCCTGGAATCATGTTTTCCTCTGCTCTTTGAGCCTGTCCTATTATTGGAGTTGTCTCTGGCTCCATCAGGTGTGGTTGGATCCTCTCCCCTTTCTGGGCAGGTTTTTACCACAGTAATGTAAGACCTTATGACCCAAATTACGCATTTATTTGCTAAATCTAACCACAGAGGCCACAAGCGTACTCCTGCACCCTCGCCTTCAGATGCTATTTCTGAATTGCCCATGGCGTTAGATAAGCTGTTTGCTCCTCCTAAGCGCTTATTAGCCTTGTATCTGTTTGGTAAGTATTTTGTGCAGAAGTGACCCATTTCCACGGTGAAAGTGTTTGGTCTGCATAGCCTTAGAGGGACAGCATCTCAAGTTCTTGACAACATCAGGATTGCAGCTCCTGGTAAGAGCACTCCTGTCTCTCTAAGTGGAAGAAGCCTAAAGAATGGAGAACAAAGTCTTCTACCTCTCTAAGATGCATCCCTTTAATTTATCCATGCCCTCTTCCTCAATATCAAAACTCCCCAAGCTTGGCGCCCCTTCCACCTACAACTCTTGTCATTCTGTCTGTCAAATTCTTGAAGAAGCCTCTTTCTCTGTATGAACGCTTTGAGTATTTGGCAAATGGTAGAGGGCGTTTTGTTAGCCTTTGTGGACACATGGCTCTTTCCTACAGTCTCTCGCTGCACCTCAGATATTCATCAAGATGCTGGCCCCAGGACTAGCCCTGCTGCATTCTTGTGACATCTTGACAGTGCTTCTTGGGTTTTTTTACGTCTATTTCTGAGCTTTGCCAGGTGGACATTTCGGCCTCATCTGATGCCAATTTCGGGCATAAGGTCCTTCAGGTGGCTCTTTGAGCTGTAGGCAGTCCCTAGTTTTATTAATTTTTCTTAGGCCTGTTGACCATGTGTGTTGCTCACCTTTCAGTTGGACTGCTTTTAGACATCTCAAAGGTTAAAGACTTCCTGTGTCCTTCAATGGACAAAAAAGAAATGTGATTTTTGTACTCGCCTTAAAAACCTTTTCTTGTGGAGGAGTCCATTGAGGAATTTTGTCAGTGTCCAATCATCCTGTAGGTGGCGGTTTAACTCCGATTAAATAAGTCTGTGTCCCTTAAGGGACTTCCAAAAAAAGGTTTTTACATTGAGTACAAAAATCCTATTTTCTGATTCGTTTATGGCAAAGACTTCGACTTTTCTTCCCTCCATTTTGTGATAAATCAAGTCAATTTATTTACTGTTTCCATACCTATCATCTACCTCCAGTTTGACCACTTTATTGTTCCGTACTGTTCCAACACATACCTGCATAAATTTAGCATATTGGTGACATACTACAGCTTGTGTGTCCACCTTCCCATCAGCAACACTGTGTAATTATTGTAATTATGTTGTGGAATTCTTAGTATGTGATGTGTACATATGCAAATGATGGGTAAACAGATGAACATGTGCCAACTGTATAAATGTCTTTGTAACATTGTAACAGAAAGTCACAGTGTTGCATTTAGTATGGAGGTCTATAAAACATGTACATACCTTTTTTATATGTACCGTTATAGCATTCACACCATATGTTGGTAGAGGTTTTTTTTCATGGTAACAGGAGTAAAATTGAAGTTGTTGCATTTAGCAGCCATTCAGTTTTCAGTGTTTGCTCTAAAACACACACATGTAAAATACATTTCTAGATTGCTATGGGCAAAAGCTTTATTTCTTCTGCCTTTCTTTCAATAATCAATCCCCTATGTTGGCATACCTGTGGGACAGAGGGTGACTGTAAAACAAAATCTGCATGTATAGACTGAACATGTCACTCACGTGTCTAGAGCTGAGTCACAAGGAACACCTTGTGCAAATATGGAGGAGACAGAATATGACAACAATAAAGAAGGAGTGACTGTACCATTGACCTACAGACAGATATAGATATCAGATATACAGAATCTGCTCAGCACAGTCATAAACCTTTTTTAAAAAAAAGCATGTAGAAAACTTGGCAGTAAGGGAACACTTTTCACATAGGGGAAGGTCAATATCACCCAAAGTAATTTACTGTGTTTTTAAATATGTTAGCACATAGGATTTTAAAGGACAATGGCTCACGTGTAAAGATGGCCATTCCTGACTCGAATTTCAGCGGATTCTTGCTGACTTGTCCAAAATTAGAACTGTGGGCGGCCCTGCAAGTACCACTCGGCTTAAAAAAAGGAAAAAAGTCAATATAAAAGTTGAGCTGGATAAAAAATAATTAGCTGAACAGGGACTGCATACTATTAGGTGCAATTACTGTTCAGGTATTTATAGACAGCAGTGGGGATTCCTCCATTCACGCTGCTTAGCCGGCTGAGCAGGAGAAAACGAGCCATGTATGGCCGGCTTAAGTAAGTAAGATGGCACTTTAATTCTTCTGAGAGAACGAAGAACACAGAAATCTGATAAGTGGGACATGAATAAGTCAGTTGAACTATATACAGCTACAGAGTCACATCACAGCAGGCATGGGGGACTTGTGGCTAAACTTGCACTTGTGATACTATTACTGCAATGGTTTTTGGTTCTTTCTTTTATCTGCAGATCAAGAGTGTACATTGACCTGCATATAATGTCAGATTTCAAAAAATGTAAACTGCTTTTATCTAATCTGTAATCATTAAATATATCATTGTTTGTCCCTACAAACTATGACCTATGTATTATTTGTAGGCTAGGTGCACACCTGCACTACACCGCACGACACCCAGGACGTGGACCTTGCAGTCCAGCACAATGCAGGCAGCAATTGCCTGCGTGGAGCCATTGATTTCAATGGGGTGACATCCGCACAGCAATCGCAGAAAAAAGTTACACGTACCTTTTTTTTGCAATATACGTCGTGCGGATGTTTTAGCGCAATCCGCCCGGCGCGACTGGGGTGCCATTAGAAAATAATGGCACCCACTGCACGATTGGTTCACACTTTGGCGACTCCTGACAGAGCTGCAATCGTGCACGATGAGGCGCGCCTAGGTGTGAACCTAGCCTAAATGTATTGCTAAATCAATAGACCCCATATAGCTGAAAGTAAAAGTTGCTCTAGTTCAAAAGAATTATACATGTAGTTTAAGCTTGAGCCAGTGGTCCTATTAAGAAATGTATTCATCGGTTTAGGCGGGAGCTTAAGGTGCTTGAAGGACTTGAGGGAAGCTGTCCAAAGCTTGATTAATGCACACAAAATATGTTCTTCAATCTGAGGTTTACATGCCAAGATTAAAATAATGGCTATATGTGAGACTATACATCAGGGATGTTTTAAGACGGCTGGGATGAGCGGATATACAGTATTTGGACATTGGTGCAAAATACATATTCTGGTGCTTCAGGTAATACAAACATGATGTCACATTTTATAAATGTGCAGTAGGTTTGTCATTTACCGCGGTTTTTAGATCGATAACCAGGAAGGATGACATAAGTCAGGGCACAATGTACATGTTCGCCATGGTTGAGAAGGTCCAGCAAAAGAAAAAACAGTATAAAACATTAAACAAGGCTTCCACATCCCAGAGATGGTGCAGGGACAACTCATTGATGTAGGTGACAACGCTGATCTCTTACGGATCTAAACCCAAGAACAAAAAATGTAATATTACTAGTCATTAGATGCCGTGGCTGTATTAGTTTTCTTTTTTCATAATTTTTTTCCTTTTTATTTTCACTTGCTGATCCAGTAACACACTTAGGGTGACAACGCTCACT